TGGTTTTAACTGGTACGGTTGAAGCTTGTCTCCTAAATGACCTGAAGTGTGTCAATTTGATCGTAAAAAACAGCTACGTTAAAAGTAAAACAAGTTATGACTGATGTGTAAATTGTTTTTTTCGTGCAATTTCTGGAGTGGACATGTTTTAACGAAGGGATTGTAAAGCCTTGTGATTTGAATGACTGGACTGGGTATACATGTGGCCCACACCATGTCTTTCTTTTGTGCTGGCGGTAGGTACACTTTGTGGTGTGGTTACTTTTGTCTGTATCTGTATAATTCCTTTTGCTTTTTCTAGGTGTTACTACTTGTGTTACTTTTTGTCTGCCCCCAATGATATGTAGCTATTCTTTGTTGAAGTATAAATTATTTGTGTGTGTGTGTGTGTGTGTGTGTGTGTGTGTGTGTGTGTGTGTGTGTGTGTGTGTGTGTGTGTGTGTGTGTGTGTGTGTGTGTATGTTTATGTGTGTGTGGGGGGGGGGCAGACTGTTAACTAATTTAGATTGTGTCAAATACATTCAAGGTTTTTTTTTCTCTACAATTTCATTTATATTTTGGGAACTTATGGTTTCAAAGGAGTTCAGATAGAGTACATGCAGCTCTTGCGTCCTTTTTCAAGTGTATTCGTGTGTCGTGAACTATCGAGGATGAAATTTGTTCCCTTTGTGTTGGATGTATGTAATAGCTGATGTTGTTTGGTGTTGTCGTAGTTCTGTTCCTGAGTGTGTAGTGTAGGCTACTGCCTTTCTCTCAGTGTGTGTTGGGTTTTTTTAGGTCTGACACAGTGGGTTTTCCCTTTGGACTGGGTGGTTGGTGGTTGCTCTTGTGTGGGTTTTCTCCTCTTTTTCCTATCAAACTTTTACCTTTGTGGGTGGTTGGTGGTTGCTCTTGTGTGGGTTTTCTCCTCTTTTTCCTATCAAACTTTTACCTTTGTGGGTGGTTGGTGGTTGCTCTTGTGTGGGTTTTCTCCTCTTTTTCCTATCAAACTTTTACCTTTGTGGGTGGTTGGTGGTTGCTCTTGTGTGGGTTTTCTCCTCTTTTTCCTATCAAACTTTTACCTTCGTGGGTGGTTGGTGGTTGCTCTTGTGTGGGTTTTCTCCTCTTTTTCCTATCAAACTTTTACCTTCGTGGGTGGTTGGTGGTTGCTCTTGTGTGGGCTTTCTCCTCTTTTTCCTATCAAACTTTTACCTTTGTGGGTGGTTGGTGGTTGCTCTTGTGTGGGCTTTCTCCTTTTTTTCCTATCAAACTTTTACCTTCCTTTTGTCTCCTTCTTTTCTTTGTGTGTTACTCTCTGGCGCTCATATGACCTGTGGGTGGTTGGCGGGTGCTCTGGTGTGGTTTGCTCCTTCTTTCCTATCAAACATCTATCGTCCTTGTCTCTCCTCCTTTTTTGTGTATGTTACTCTCTTGTAACACATTCTTCGGCACTTATATGACCTTATTGTGTTGCAAGTGCCGTAAAACTCTTACTGAATCTAATCTAAATCATATGACCTTATGCAGTTGCGAGCGCCGTAAAACCTCTACTAATACATTTTTAAAAATATGACCTATTTGTGTTGCAAGTGCTGCAAAAGTTGTTCTAAAACTATGTGGAACTTGCTTTGGACCAGGAGCGATTGGAGAATTCTACTGGTAGGTCCTACTTCTTTTCTTTCCCTCAGTCGTTTCTGTCTGTCTGTCTGTCTGTCTTGCTTTTTCTCAGCACGAAACGATTTTTTGTTTTGTTAATTTGCTTCTCTTTACTCGAACTCAAAACTCTCTTTGTGCCGGGGTTTGTACTCTCTTGTGGTTTCCTCCTTCTTTCCTATCAAACATCTATCGTCCTTAGCTCTCCTCCTTCTTTCCTATCAAACATCTATCGTCCTTAGCTCTCCTCCTTCTTTCCTATCAAACATCTATCGTCCTTAGCTCTCCTCCTTCTTTCCTATCAAACATCTATCGTCCTTAGCTCTCCTCCTTCTTTCCTATCAAACATCTATCGTCCTTAGCTCTCCTCCTTCTTTCCTATCAAACATCTATCGTCCTTAGCTCTCCTCCTTCTTTTCTCTGTAGGGTACTTGGAGGAATACGAGGCGAAAACGAAGCCACTGTGCCAGAACTGTTAACACGTAGAAAACATTTGTATATTTGGTACTTGTATGTAAAAATGGTTGGTTTTGTTTGTTATTGCATGTTTTTGCTCATTTTTTCCTTCTATTTTCGGTTTTGATCATCACCCCAATATGTGAGTTTTCTTGTTGTTCCGAACACTTTTTTAAAATAATAAACGGTTTGTGATCCAATCACCTTGTTTCAAGTGTCAGTGGTTACGTTTAGTTGCTAAATCCTCTCCTGTGTACAGTTTGAGGGGATGGGGTGGGGCGCTTTGTTAACTCAGTTTTTATTATGTGGGACTATGGAGTGGATGGCCCTGGCTCGATTCCCAGACTGGGAATTCTTGAACTCGGGTCGTTTTGTGGAGTTTTCAAGACTCTCATCAACCTATTTGGCTCAACCCTATCGGAGAGGAACGTTAAGTTCGGAGATCCCGCCTCTGATCTCGTTCCTAATAATAGTCTTATTGGAGATGGGTGTTACATTCTGAGGTCCCACCTCTAAAATGTTCTCCCAGTATTTAAAGGGGCTTCTGTGGTGTAGCAGTGAGGCGCATCGTCGTCGACACAAGAGACCCGAGTTCGATTCCCGAATAAGGAGAGTTTTTAAAATCGAGTATCTCAGTCTTTCTGCTCGGATGTTGTATCCCTCTCAGCTTGGGTTGGAACTGACAGGTGTGGTCAAAGCCCGCCCCCTAAGGGGTATTTCATTGCGTCGATGGTGTAGATATTTACCTTGAAAAAAACCCACAACCAAAAACAGTCGTAGTCAGGAGAGAGAGAGAGAGAGAGAGAGAGAGAGAGAGAGAGAGAAGG